AGCTTGGTGATCAGAGCCCCATCCCCTCATCTGAGTGATGGAAATGACTCGTGCTCAGAGACAGCTAAAGACCTCTGAGACACAGCAGTCATGGCAGACTTTGCTTTCTATAGGGCTTAGAGGGGGCTCCCAGATAATTATCTAGGCACAAAGGGATTTAGGAGTCTTCTAATCCTGATGCCCACTCAAGGTAGGAAGCCCTATGTTAGCATTTCCTCTCTCACCTTTCATTTTATGTAATGAGTATAATGAATTACATGCAAGTAGTTATGAATATTTGTTCAACAGATAAAGGACTCCCTTCTTGGCAAAAGGAGTAAGAGATATCACAACAGTAAAACTGAAAGTTGGTCCTCACTCTTGGATTTTGCAAAGTTAGCTGAGCAGGAGGAAAAGAGAGGGGTTGGAACTTACTTGTTGTGTCCATTTCTTCTTGTCCTCTTCGTGCTGCTGGAGGATTCTGGTGAGATCCTTCTGGTGCTGCTCAGCCTCCTCAGATGCACAGAGCTGGACAGTTGTGGCTATAGATGACAAAGCACATCAATAAATCACACTGAGCAGAGTGGAATAGGGTCCAGCAGAGAGAGTGTGGGAGGCTGGGGCTGAGGGGCAAGAACCCTGATCTCTATATTAGGAATGGTTTCAATTGGGGACCAACCTGCAGACATAGTCCCCCAAATCTCTCTGGCTTCAGTGCAGGAGCCAGTGGTCTCATTTTACCTCCTAGGATCTGTAGTAGAGCTGGTAACTCACAGGACAGGTTCAGCCCATAAAAATGTTCTATTTACCCTAAGATCTAAATTAAAAAAAAAAAAAAAAAGTTGCTGATAGTTAATGACTGGGCAGCTTTTATTTTTACTTCATACAGACTTCTAACTTTTCTTGAAGAAGCCACAGAACTGGCAGTGTGCACCTTTGTGTCAACCAGGAGCCAGGGCTGGGGAGCAGCTGCCTCCCAACCTGTCCAGGATGCAGCTCTGCCATTCACCACAGTCCTCGCTTCTCCCTGTGAGGTGTGTATAAGGGGCCACTTCATCATGTGCTTTATCCGCTGGGGCCTGTCATTGTCTGAGCGTGCGAACCCTCAGCTTTAGCCTCTCCCCAGCTGGAGGCAGAGGAGCTGCCATGAACAGGAAGAAGAGGCAAACAGGAAGTCTAGCTCTTGCTTGGGGAAACTTCAGAACAAGCCCCGTCCATGCTTAGACTCCGGTTCTGACCTAAGGCAGTGACCCATCCCCTCTGTGCCTCAGTTACCCAATATGTGAAATCAGGACAATAATAATACCTTCCTCATGGGGCTATTGAGATGATTAAATCAGAAAACAATGCCAACAGACATAACAGCAGAGAAGGAATACTGAGCGCTTAGCATGCCCAGGATCAAGTGTCTCACAGGTACGACTCAGTTCATTCTCACAAACACCCAGGTGGGTGGATACCATGATATTCCCATTTCACAGATGAGGAAACTGAGGACCAGAGAAGTTACACAGCGTGCGCAGGATCTCCCAGTTCACCAGCGGGGAAGAAGGGCTGTGAACCTACGCGATCTGATTCCATGGCAAACTCTCCTGCGTGCCGCCTTATTCTGCCTGTTTATGCACAGAGAGTTAAGTGTCGCACCAGGCATTCGGAGGTGCTCAACAAGTGTTCTCTGTTGTTCACTAAATAAATGTTCTCTAAATGTTCATCAGGGCTCATGAAAAGCATTAGAGGCAAATACTAGTGTCGTTAGCATTGCTATTCATGTTAGGATTACAGACCTCCACCGGCAGGGTCTGGCAGTGGGTATGGTGAGGAATGTGGGAACAAGGGCTGCTAAGCAAGAAGTCAACACTGTGGTCAGGCCATCTAGATAGAGGAGGAACAGTCAGCACCCTGGGTCAAGGTGAATGGCAATGGTCAGGATCAGAGAACCCCTACTCTCACAGATCATTTGGCTCAGGGTCTCAAATGTTGCTCCATAAGACCAGTACCAGACCGGGCCCAGCTGGGAGAAGCTTATTTGAAAGATATATCATCACTAACAATGCAGATTCTTCAGTCCCATTCCCAGAGATTCTTATTTCACTAGTCTGTAGTAGGCCCAGAATCTGTATCTTTTTTTTCTTTTTTCCTCTTTGATCAGGTTTTTATTCAGCTTAAGCTGTCCGAAGTGATTTGACCTTTATGAAATAAACCAATTTCAGTCTATGCTGCAGACTTTTTTTCTTCTGTGTTATGTTCACTCTTCATTGCCAACAGTGCCAGGTCTGGGCTGGTGCAAACATGCAGCCCCATGACACACTGCCAAATCCACCCTGGCCAGAAAGATAAGTCCCACCACCTGGAACTCTGGGAGTCTGAGCCACAGCTTGGCCAGAACCCCACGACTCAGCACTGGTTTGATGACCTGCTAATTCACTGACAGCACAGGGCCGTCTGTTTTTTTTTTTTGCACAGGTTGGTGTGAACAAGTTCACACTATCTGGTTGAATGGGAGCCTTGAACATAGCAGGCAAAGTGATACTTTTGCCAGATGATCCTCCTTTTCAGAGTATGCCGATATCAGTAGACAAGCACAGGCCACGGCGGGGAGAGGAGATGGCCATGCTTCTCAGCCCTGTGGCTCCCACAGGAAAAGCCCAGGATCTGTATCTTTGAGGTTAGACTGGAGAGCCTCTGAATTCTGGTCCAACTTCTTATCTAGTACTTGAACTTCATCTATAGTATCCCTGACAGACTCTAGGCTATAATTAAATACTTTCAGAGATGGAGCGTTCATTCTATTACTAGGCAGCTCTGGTAGTTTTAAGTCAACTACCACATAAAAAAAGTCCTTCGAGACTGAACTGAATTCTGCCTGCCTGCTACCTGGAGGCCCTAGCTCTGACCTCTGGGTCACATTGTACAAGGCTTATCTTACTTCTCCATGAGGGCACTTAAGACACGGGGACAGAACTGTTGTTTTATTGCAACATCTTCTTTCCAGGTAAAATATCCTCTGTTCCTTTAACTGCTCCTTTTAGGACCTGGTTTTCAGATCCCTCATGAGCCTCATCTTCCTTCACTGTGCTCCTTCCAACTTTTCTGGACGCCTCTGAAAATGTACTTTCCAGAAATAAACTCAGCACTCCAGGTATGGTATGAACAGCCCAAAACAGGAAAGCGCAGGTCAGGACTATCACCTCTCTGATTTCAGACACAATACTCCTTATAACCTATCTAAGATCTCACGAGATAATTAAGTAGCTACATCGCTTTCGTTGATTATAAAATAGGAAACCTCACAGATGTCAAGGAAGGCATTTATGGGGCAGGCTACTCACCTGTGTCTCCATTGAGGGGACCTAGTTCCTGGGGCTCTGGTCTGGGTGGCTGATCTGGTTCTTGGCATCTCTGGAAGAAATGACATGACAATGAGGTGGAGGTAGAGGGTGGGAGGTCAGTGTGAGGATGGAGGCCTGAGGACTCTTCCAGAGGCAAGACAGGACTTTCAGCTGTGCCAGGTCCTTCCCGGTGCCCAGTCCACTGAGGCTGCCTCCTTCCCTTCCCAAGGCAGCACCCCTTCTGGGGGCAAGGGGTTCTCAGAGCGGATTTCTCATCATGGCCGGGGAAACCCTTGGCGAAGAGGCTGGTGCTCATTGACCGCTGCTTAGATTCTTGTGGTTTGGCTCCTGCCACCAGCCGTGGGGCTCTCCCTGCCTACTTCTTCCTTTTCCCAGGACTTGGACAGACCATCTGCTTTTACCCTCACCCATTGAGGTTATGACCTTGAGATGCCTTAGAACTTCCCAATTCCCAGTTCAGAGACAATTCCCCTTCCTTCTCGGGGTCTGTGGTTACCACAACTTCCAGCCAAGTTCCCCTTAAAGTTCTGTGGGGTTGGGGGCAGAGCATCAGAAGTCTCAGCCATGGTTTTGCCATGTTATTCTCTGTTAGAAGGGGCTGTTCTCTCAACTGTAAGGCAGCGGAAATACTTACCTTGCCAGATGGGGTGAGACACGGAATCTGGATGTATCGGATACTATGCTATCTTATCTACTCTATCTCAGCTAA